TATGCGGCATTGACAACGAATGTCACCGCTCCCTATTGCAAGGATTAGCTCATGCAAATGTCATGCGCTCTACCTGCGCTGTCTGCAGCTGGTCGAACTCGACCTTCTTCCCCATTGGTCCGAGACTACAGGGTTCTGTCTGCTTCAGCAGGTCCAGGCACTGCTGTGGACTCAGTTTAACCAGAGGTCATACTAGTGGTGACTGGTCCATGGAATTGATGTCCTCCTTTAGCACCCCTATTTTGACCTATCTCGCTTTGTTGACCGTAGGAGGACTGGAGACTACCTGAAAATGATACTGGGGTTTGCTATGTGGAAGTTTACGGGATATTCTCTTCATTCTCATAGCACCTTGTAGTTGTGACTTTTTCCCAAGAATATTGCCTTTACGAAATAGCAATTCTGCCAAGTGTTGGCCGGCTCTGGAATGCGAGTGCCGCCCGGTGACTTCCCCATTATGGCGTCGCTTGGGTCCGTTGCGCCACCGGAGAAAAAAGAACGAGGCGGAGGAAGGGAAATATCTCAAATCTTCTGGATTTATCGGGATGCGGATGTCGCATGTAGGAGCCAAAATTTGATACTCAGAAAGATCTCCGGGCAACTTATTGAGAAGGTCCGGTCCCTGTGACCTGTCTGGCCCCGGGCTGAAGGTCACACGGGCCCGCCCGACGGCAGCTGACCCCGAGGCCATCGGCGGCCCTCGTCCGGCTGGCTTCAAAGCTGGCCGCTCCGCCAACATCACGGGGATTAGCAGACGCGCGGGCCGGCCCGCCCGACGAGATGGACCTGTCGCCGACCGTAATCTCGCCCGAAGAGCGGCCGGCCGGACTACGCGGCCACGCAACAACGATCTGACGCGGCCGGGGCCAGATCGGGGCCGGGCCTAACTGGGCCCTCGGACTCCTGACCGGAGACTCCTGGACTCGCACTCCTGGCCGTAGACAGTGGTGGCAGATCAGGTCCGGCTGGAGACTGTCGGATTTCTGCCCCGGGAGATGACCGCGGTATGCACAGATACGGATGCTCGGAATGGCTACTTTTGAACGTAATTATGTAGGATCGAGAGAGTCTTGGCATCTTTTTAGCACTGCTCACATGCCCATTTGCTTACACGTCCTGCAATACATTTAGGCAAACGGGTGCAGTTTAAACATCAACAATAGCCAGCCATGCGTGGGCGCCTCAATGGAGCCGTAAATTCCAAAAGACCATTTAAATTTCCTTCACAGCGCCTGACATCATCATCATCATCATCATCATCATCATCATCATCAACAACAACCGGGCATTTTGAGCAAATGTAACGGCTGGATGACGGCAGCCCGCCGTGAACCGAGCTCATAGAATGTGTGGCTGTGACCGGCCCGGACCGGCCGCCGGACAGCGTCGCCCGACGGAGCTCACGGAGTGTGTGGCTGTGACCGGCCCGGACCGGCCGCCGAACAGCGTCGCCTGACGTCGTCAAGCTCTCAGTTTTGGGTTGGACATCCCGGTGTTCACCAACCTCAGACAGATTTAACTCGGCCGTGTTGCTGTTGGACGCATGTTTGGAGGAACTTTTACCGGCAGGGACGATGAGGACAATTTTAGATCTGTGCGAGTCCGCTTGGACGGTTTATCCCAAGAAGAACGTTACCAAGTCAGGACTTGGCTAATCTGCTTCGTGGCACCCTTCGTCATATCCGGTGGCTGGATTCCTTCTCTATGATAGCACGCAACGCCAGCTGTTGATAGCCGGGCATATTTGTCTCTAATCTCCTCGTTGCACACACCCACTTCATTTATTAAAGGAGTGACTTCATCAGTGGTTTCCGGAGATTTTATGGTCACGCTCATCTTGTCCTTCTGAGTGACGTTACTTTAGGACCACGATAAGGCTACCGCAAGTCTGTCTCTTTCAGTCCATAGGCGCGGAATGCTGAATTCTAGCATCATCTCAGAACTGTTTGTGTTATCACAGATGGACCCCCGGCTTCCTGAAAACCTATCTGACTCCACCTGAGTGAACTCAGCGCGCAGCAGTCAACCCCACAATACAGGGGCTGTGCGTGACGGCTCCCGTCAACGGTTGATGACCCTCGGGTGTCTGGCCATGGACGACTCATCGCCAGTCTGGTGCAGCGGTGCCAGCGGTCAGTCGTCGAGTGCGTCACCAGGGAGCGTCCGTCAGCAGCCCTGTCCCGGGCGGAGGGCGCGCTCCAACCTCGCTACTGAGCCGCCCTGTTCGGCCCCAGCGTCCGGCGTGTCTAGCCGTGCCGACACCTCCCGCAGACGGGGGGGGGGGGGGGGGGTTACGCGCCGGCGGGCGGTCCGCCGCCTCCAAAGGTCACGCGGCGCGGGCCTCGCTGACGCCGCTAATGAATGCCATAAATCGCTGCATTGACCAATTAGCCGGCCGACGGCGGGTGGATGAACGATGCCGGGCTGGGTGGCGGCGGCGGCGGCGGCGGCGCGGCCGGCCCCGCCCCCGCCGGCCGCGAGGTCTGTTTATCGATCGGCCGTTTCTCGGCGCCGGTGGCTGACGGCGCCCACCTCTCTCGGCGCCGCGTGTTGCGCCTGCCAGCGGCGCCGCGCCGGTAAACAGAGCGGCGCCGCAGCCGGCGCCGACGCCCGCGGGCACGCGGCGCGACCTCCGCGGTCGCCGGCCGGCCGGCCAGGTCAGGGGCCGCGGCGGCACCCCGGCGCCGCTGGGGGCCGATGAGGCGTCCGCCAGCACCCATCGCCCGTCACGAAGAGGATGGGCAAACAACTTGGGAAGGAAAATATACGGCCGGCGTCGGGGCGTGAGTGCGCTCGTTGGGCGGCCTTCAGTGGCGCGCCCATACCCCCACCACCGTCACGCCGGCCGCGATCTCATTGACGGGCCTGCGGTGGCAAGCGCTGACCATGTATCACTACCCAACCTCCATTTGCCTGCGAGAAGAAGCAGTTCAGTTTGTAACGAGGCGGAACGCAGCGATGGAGGGCCCGGTTTGGTTCCCTGACGAAGCTGTGTACAGGCGGTGCTTATGTCACCGTCGTCACCGGTGATGCTTCTCATTAGGGGGCCGCCTAGAAGACCAAAACGATGTGGATGGATTGGCCACCTCACGCCCCCGGCGCCTGCAGCTGCAGCTTGCGTCAGCTCCTCGTCTCCTAGTGAAACACGTAGTACATACAGACATGCTGACCAGGAATCGTGCTTCAGGCCTCTCACTGTGAAGCAGTGCGCCGATGGCGCCCCTTCGGCCTGCCGTCCCCACTTCTAACCGCAGCCCGCCGTAAAGCCGTCGTGCAGCCGTTGCTGAGGCCGGGCCAGTGTTAGCGCCACGCTTGCGGTGGCCGGTTCGGCTAAATGCGGGTGCCCCTTTGTTCATTCACCGCACGTGTACCTGGCCTCGAAGCAGCCGGCTGGCGGCGCCTCCAGCCCCCTGTACTTCCTGGCATTGTTCTCAGCGGCAGAGGCCCGCTCGGCCCGTGACCTGTCCGCTGCCCCGGGGCAGGGAGCTGAGCGGATGACTCGGCGCCGTCGACAGATGGTATGTGACAAACTAGCAGGCGTCTCGGAGAAACGGACATTGCCCTCGGAGCAATCTGAGCACGTTGCGAACTTTGTTTAGTACTTCACTCAGCCTTCAAATTTGGTTTGCGCTGCCGTTTCGGCTCCCAGGTACGCAAATATGCTTTTAATTACGTATTTCCTCCCGACGTATGTCAATGGCAACTGACCGCCCTCTGACGCGCAGATAACATAAGTAACCCACATGATGTGACGGTTACGTATATAACCTATCCAAAACACCGCTACAAGCCGTGCGAAACGTCAACTGAGTCGGACAGAACAAACTTGGGAACTTGAAAGCTGTTTTTTTTTCTTCATCAGACTGTCAGACACAAGCAACGAAACCATAGATAACTCGAGACCGTTAACGATAACTAACTGACGTTATCGAGATCGATGGCCCACGCCGCTGTTTCCATAGAACACGCCGTTGTTTCCATGGTTTCCATAGTGCAAGGCAACAGCCTCGAAATTACGCGCGGTCGACATTGCGCATAATTCAATGTGAAGCATTAGCAGCATTCATACCCTGTGTAACGATGTGCGCCTCCCAGATTCAGGGACCGATACGCGTTGGTTGCAGATGATTTGCTGGTGTCCAGTCCTTTCTGTTCTGCCTGTGTTCCGTTGGCACTCATTGGCATTTTAGCATGGCTCAGTAATTTTGCAGCACTTTCCGCTTTGCAGTGGTGACCACTGTCCTGAATAGTGATGCATCTGATGCAGTGATGCATCACCGAATAGTGATGCATCTGGTCAGCTTCCACCCATTCCCTTCCAAACTTTGTTTCAGGCCTGCCCAGCCTTCACTCTAAGTCGTCGCATCCCTACCATTGTGTATCCCTGCCCATGCCCAGCCCACTCGGCCACACCAGGCCTGGCTCCCGCTGACGTCCAGGGTCGAGGTGGGAAGCCATGTCATAAGCCTCTGGCATTTTAATCGGCTCTGGGGGCCGCTCATTTCCGCCGGAGAAATGGCTTCTCGACTATGAAGGCAGCGTGCCGTTTGGCCTGGAGGCAGCGCTGGTAGCAGCGCTGTGCCGTGATTATGGTGCACATCGGTGCCCCTGTGTGCCTCTGCTCGGCGTGTCCGCGACGCTCTCAGCGGTCCCGCGCCCCACACCTAGGCGTCCAGAGAGCCCGACACCCCTGCCCCCCCCCCCCTCCGCCCCAACACCCAGCCGTCCAGGGGACCCGACTCCCCCGCCCCACACCCAGCCGTCCAGAGAGCCCGACTCCCCGCCCGCCATCCGGGGCACCAGAGCCGTGTCCGTGGCCGAGTGGCCGCCCCGTCGCACTCGCGCAGGCCGCATAACCGCTGTCGTGTCGTCATGCAGATGCCCGTTCAGGAGAAGCCTCGTAACGCCGGCAGACCCTGCCGTCTACTGCGGCCGCCGGCGGTCGGCGGAGCATGGCCTCTCGGCGCCGGGCGCGCTGACCGGGTGGGGCTCTGTTGCAGAAAGATTTGCGCCAACTGCAAATGTGACCGGGAGAGCCACGACCTCTGCCAGGACGACTGGGTCAACGTGCGGGACCGGCTCGGCTTCACCGGCGTGTTGGAGCCCGACAAGTGAGTCTCGGCGTGAGCATGCGCCCCTCCCCCCTCCCCCCCTCCCCCCCCCATGTCACGACGGCAGCGTCATGCGTGACCATGCGATGCAGTTACATCCCCATGATGTAACTGCATCACCTGGATATGATGTGTGTGTCGAAAGTCTATGTTTGGCTTAAAGCCTATGTTTGGCTTTTTTGCTTTTTGTATACATCCGCACGATCTTGAGACAAGGCATGTACGATTTTCATTTCCTGAAGAACTGAAGCATACCGGCTTAAATATAGCTTGGGCCCCATCAAAACTTGACGCCTTTTGGGGTTGCTCTGCTGTCGTAGCTGAGCCGGTACGCTCCTGTCCGCTGCTCAGGGCTCCTGTCCCGTGTACGCTGCCTGCACTTGTCAATACACACAGGCCTGGGGCGTTCTCATCGCCTAGGTAGCACCTCAGGCCTGAGCACTGTGGGCTTGAAATGAGAACGCACGTTATTTGACCCGCGCCGGGCCGTCCCCGGATAACATCCGCCACTCCGAGAATGCCGGACCCCGAGTATGACCCCGTCGCCGAGTCCCCGAGTTCCCAGTGGGTCGTGAGGTACCGCTCTTATCCCGCAAGCCTGTCGTAACCCGTGGGGTACCTATTGGCGCATTCGGCCGCTATAACCACGATCATCGCGAGCTCTCAAATCTCAGCGAGCTCTCAAATCAACTGTGCCCGGCGACAGCGGGACACATTCTGCAGTGGGCCTCAAACTTCACCCTCACAGCTGTGCGGCGAGGGCTCTGCCACTGGACTGAGACGACCCCATCCACATGTCGGTGAGAGTACCCGGGCTTGCCCCAGCGTGATCAGCGCGCAGCGTGTGACGGAGAGTTACCACCGTCCTTCTGTTTTTATGGTGTATTTTTGCGATTTAGGGGAGCATCGTACATGCTGACGCTTCCGGTACGTAATTCCGCCCTCGACTAAACCTAGCTTTCGTACGATTAGCTCATCACAACACGTTGGTTAGAAAAGGCATCAAGGCAGCATAGTTTTTCGACCACCGTCTTTTCAAGTGCACGCGTTCGTAAAAGATAACTTTGATGTACTGGCCACGGACATGGTGCGTTGCACTTAAAAATATCATCGTAGCAGTCACATTTAGCCTAATTTGTTTCATTCAGTCCTGGAACTCTGACACAAGGTTAAGTGATCACCTGTTGACTCATTCTAAGCCAAGTGACCTTTCACTGCTAAGGTCACTTGCATGTTCTCCCTGTTTCTTAACAGTCCACATTGGGACACCTGTGCCCAGACGGTAGCTCAGGTGGCCATGGATGGTGGCCCGGTGGCTCAGGCGGGATCCGAAGTTTCTCCCGCGCAGGCTCATGCTGCCATGGCGCTTGTCTCGATTTTTTAAGCAGGGGAAAAATCTGATTAAATTAGTCGTTGGGTAATGAGGCGGACTTTTCAAGATGTTTGTTTGTGTTTCTGGTTTTCAAAACACTGCTCCCAAGGAAACGAGAATATGTTCTCCCACCATAGTTAAACTATAGTTACAGCTTATGTGTCAGTTTCACGACACTATCATTTGCAGTGCCCCAAAACTCCTCCTTCGCCGAACTCCAGTAAGCGTTCTTTCCGCTTTTCAGGCATCGATATGATATTTTATAGCATGTAAACAGCAGACCCTTCAAATGCGCAATAAGGCTGTGTCGTTTGACATGCCTACTTAGAAAATTTCATGAAAGTCAACTTCTTTCCCTCTTTCTCATTAGATACGTTTGGTGGATATCTCAACGGATGGGGGGGGGGGGGGCATCGCTCAAGTTTTGCACTAACAACGCAGTCAAGTGCACACCGCGCGCTCGCTAAATGTGTTTCGTGGAGTAAAAGGACCACTATTTCAGTGCGCGCCTGCTATGTCATACTGATGGTGGTGCTTGAAGAACGCCATAAAATCCAGTGTCGGCTTTCCACGACAGCCAGTTGCAATGGAGAATGCCTCACCCGGTGTTTTAGTCCCGCAAGGTTCACGACAGCTGACCCCAGCGGCGCGTGCCACGTATCGCCATATCGTCATACCATCGCACAGAGATTGCGGAGTCAGACTGGGCGCATTACCACGGCAACCGTATGGCTCCGACCGGTTGGATTTCGGGAATGTCTCGATCACCTCCACATCTGCTGCGTTCTCCGAAGAAAACGCCTACAGCGACGCCCTCAACATGTCTCATGGTCTGCGTTTCAAGTACGTTCTGGCACGCATGCTGGACGTTCGACCCGGACACAAACCGGGCTGATGGCCGTGCCCGGTCTGGCGGCAGCTTCTGTCCTGGAACGACTCGGAGGCGCAGCGTGGCCGGTTTGCGCCGACCGATCTAATTCTATCTAATCTGGCCCGATAAGCCGGCCTGTCGGCGACACCGTCACGCGCCGGGATATTGGCCGCCGGCGCACCGCCGCCGGCAGCCATATGGCGCCGGCCGTGCAACGGCGGAACCCCGCTCCTGTCACGTGACCCGGCAGCGGCGATGGGCACGCTGGGTTTGAGGGTACGTCACACGGCAGCGGCGGTGGGCACGCTGGGTTTGAGGGTACGTCACACGGCAGCAGAGGTGGGCACGCTGGGCTTGAGGGTACGTCACACGGCAGCAGAGGTGGGCACGCTGGGTTTGAGGGTACGTCACACGGCAGCAGAGGTGGGCACGCTGGGTTTGAGGGTACGTCACACGGCAGCGGCGGTGGGCACGCTGGGTTTGAGGGTACGTCACACGGCAGCAGAGGTGGGCACGCTGGGTTTGAGGGTACGTCACACGGCAGCAGAGGTGGGCGCACTGTGTTTGAGGGCACGTGACCAGCAGTACTTAGACTAGACTGGAACGGGTCGGTTCACGTGACCCGGCAGTGGAGCCGGGGATGACGTGTGTTGGTAGTGGAGGAGGAGGTGGGGGTGGGGGGGCACATGGCCCACCAGTTTTGACTAGAGACGTTATTATTTTCCAAAATGTCACTTCGCAGCCCGCCCCGATCCGGCCAGCTTCAGGCCTAGCCCGTAAAAACCTGCAGTGATATCTTGGTTGCTGACAAGGCAGTAACCCGCATATGCCGAGTTTACTGCAATATGTCCGTTGTAATTTATTCCTTATACTTAATACTTAATACCCATGCATGCAATGTGTATGAAATATGCTATCACTGTCATCTAGTGAACAGCCTTGTTTGTCTAATTACAGTGTTGAGGCCGACAAAACAAAAACAAAACCACCTGGACTATGCCAGTTCTTTGATACCGGATTGCATCATAAATGGTGTTCAGTCTGTTTCCAACTTGAAATGAGAAGGGAGATGGTAGAATCTGAATGTGATTACTCACCAATATGTACCAGAAATTTTAACCCCGTACTTTATCTGAGAAAACTATAGCCTCGGTCTTCCAAACCTACCTCCATCACCTACTGACGGCTTTGCACTGACAAAAAGTAAAGTTACGTCGGATTTATAAAATCTTGGAAAGTATTTGCTGTCCGTTACACTGTACACGAGCACATATAATATACAGCCATGGGCAGACATGTGCCTGCATGACATTGATGGATACATAATTACTTTGGGCTCCGTGTTGCTGAGATCCAGGAATGGGATCCTGGTGCTCGCGAATGCGTCACAGTAGCCGCAAAGTCATAACCTGTGTTCAAGAAAACGCAGGATAAATTACGTTTGCTGCTGAATACGTTCAAAATTTACAACAACAAAAAATCGTACGACACCTTGTAAGTGATCCGCATTTCCCTCTAAGTGCCACTCGTGTTTTCGTTCATAACGGCCGTCAACGCGTCTTTTGTTATACTTTGTACGAGGATATTAATGTCATTTTGTCCAAGAATGCTGTTTGTGCCACTCAAGCGATACCATTTGCTTCTACAAATGTCACGATAGCGTGAAAAGTTAAATGGTAAAACCACATTTCGACCACCATAAAGAAGACTGAGCCGGGCCCAGCACATCAATGACATCTGCTCACATAGCCTGCTGACTGCGAATTTGGGAAATATACCGAATGTTTGGTTAACGTCATATGCTGCATTGAAATTTGGGATAAAAATGCATCTGATCTGATAAAAATGCACTGATCATGCATCGAAATCGATGGCAAAAGGAAACAGAACAAAAATATTAATGAGACATATGTTTTGCAAATGCATGACAATCACAGTGTGAGTGAGAAGTGCTGCACGTAGCAGTCTCTGCCATCGCGCCCATGAATTGCATATTCTTGTAATTACGCACGGGAAAACACATGCGTAAATAGGCAAACTCTTCGGTACCATGACTTATATTTCGACAACTGTTGCGCATGCGATACCTACGCTACTTTCTGGGGGCTGTGCAGACCAGTCAGCGAGACTAGGACAAGGGAAGTCATACAGAGTCGGAGTCACATCATCGATCATGGATATGCGCTCTGAGGTATGGTTTGTATATGCCACAAGGCAATTTTAGTATATCCCACTTCATAGTAACAGCCAAGTGCAATGCGCCGCCGTGTTTGTAAGTTATTTTTAACTCTCAGTGAGATGTATGTTTACATTGTTCAATTTGTACAACCTGGTTAACTGGTGTATCATGTCTGCCAACGGTTTTCTGACCTTGGGGTCTAACTAGAAAAGTCAAATAACGATTTCGTTCTTAGTTGTATTGCGTGCGGCAGCACGCTATAATTTTGGAAGGTTTTGGTACTGAAATGTGAACAAAAATGCGTAACTTTGCTTCTTAATTGCTCAACTCGCAACAGCCCGCCAAGACTGTCCCACGACCGGGCCTAAGGGCACTAAGCCCTTGCCACGTCAGGCGCGGCGGGTTGGCGGATTAAAAAGCTGCGTTTCGAAGTGAGACCAATGTCTGCGGTGGTCACGTGACCTGGCATTGGAAGCGGATGTTCTATGCCGCAGCCACATGTCGTGGTAGTGAAGGAAAACATTCTGTATTTCGTCATGTGACCTGACGATGGGGGCGTGGATGCTGTGTGCTGCGTT